TTTTTTAGTGAATTGTTGGCCTTCTGGAGAGTATGTTCATTTACTGTACATGTACTCAATACTTGGTAGGGGCTCCTTTTGCTTTAATTACTGCCTCAATTCGGCGTGGCATGGAGGTGATCGCACTGCTGCACTGCTGAGGTGGTGTGGAAGCCCAGGTTTCTTTGATAGCGGCCTTCAGCTCATCTGCATTGTTGGGTCCTCATTTTCCCAATACCGCATAGATTCTCTCTGGGGTTCAGGTCAGGCGAGTTTGCAGGCCAATCAAACACAGTAACACCATGCTCATTTAACCAGCTTTTGGTACTTTTGGCAGTGTGGGCAGGTGCCAAGTCCTGCTGGAAAATGAAATCAGCATCTCCATAAAGCTTGTCAGCAGAAGGAAGCATGAAGTGCTCTAAAATTTCCTGGTAGATGGCTGCGTTGACTGTGCGGTTCTTTCTTGTGAGTTCAGTTCACTGGAGACTCGCACTAAACGGATCATGTGAATCAGTGAGTTGTCGACTCGAGAACAGCTGCAATCGGTTCATTCTGATTCGTCAATGAATCGTTTGGTGCGATTTGCGAACCGATTTAAAAGGTTAATTGAAAAGAATCAGTTCGTTCTTGAATCAGACACCGCTTCTGCGTGTCAGAGCATGTGATATATTATTAGGAGTAATGCTATGTTTTATGAAATGTAGTGAAGTAAAAAGTACGATCTTATGCTTTGGAATGTAGTGAAGTAAAAGTAAAAGTTACTCAAAATAAAACGACTCCAGTAAAGTACAGATACTTGAAAAATGTACATAAGTACAGTAACGAAGTAAAGCTACTCCGTTACTGTCCACCACTGGTATCATCAGCATAACAGTGGAAACTAATCTCGTATTTCCTAATAATATTACCAAGGAGCAACATGTATATCGGAAATAGCAGAGGACCTAGGACAGATCCTTGTGGCACTCCATATTTTACTGGTGATAATTGAGATGACTCCCCATTTAAATGAACAATGTGGTAGCGATCGGACAGGTAGGATCTAAACCATCTTAAAGCCTGCCCTTGGATACCTGTATAGTTTTTTAATCGATCTATGAGTATGTCATGATCTATAGTATCGAATGCGACACCAAGATCAAGTAAAACTAGCAATGAGACACAGCCTTGGTCTGAAGCAAGAACTAAGTCATTTGACGTGACGTGACGAGACTCTGGGAGATCAGCCGTGACGTGACGAGACTCGGGGATGGCAGCAGTGACATGACGGGGCTCCGCTGTCGCCGCCATTCTGTGAGCGCGCTCCGGTGCAGCCGCCATTACCGGCACGGGCGCGATGTCCCTTTCTTCCTCCGTGACACCCACAGTAAACAAAGAGCCTACAGTCAACAAAGCATAATCCATAATAACTCTTCCTCCAGTGAGTCAGTGTTCTGGTGTGAATCAGGAGAGAAATCTGCACAGATCAAGCAGCGTTTAAACAGCTCTAAACACACATGTGGCTGGAGTTTGATGCGAGAGACAACAGCAGATGCACTTTTTCACTGGAGGAAGCGTTATTATGGATTATGGACTATTATGAATTATGTATTTTATTGTGATTGTGTTAAAAAGTGGCATCGCATTGTCATCACATCTGTTTGTTTTTATCTTGCACATGAATGTTTTTTATCTCAAAGGGTTTTTAATATGAATATCATCTGACTCATATCTCTGAAAGATCCAGCAGAAGCTGTAAAATGAGTTTGAGAAAGTCCGATTCAGAACGGCTTCCTATAAAGAGAAAGACTAATATGATGCAGAAGAGCCAAACCTAAATGAGTGATTTCAGTCTCCACAGCGATTGTGGCATTTCTCTCGTGTGATCCAGTCACCGCTCTGGTGTTCATCAGTTTCAGCAGCGAGGGAAACGAATGTGAACAGAATTAGATTTGCAGAACAGTGAACTCCAGATCCCTGATCAGATGCGATAACTGTGATCTGATGAGGGTTTCACACATGCGTGTCTGTCTCCTCTCGTCCCACAGGAGAGCTGTATATCGGTGGAGTAGCCAAGAGCATGTACAGCAGCCTGCCGAAGCTGATCGCGTCCCGGGACGGATACCAGGGCTGCCTGGCCTCCGTGGATCTGAACGGCCGGCTGCCGGACCTGCTAGCAGACGCCCTCCACAGGGTCGGCCAGGTGGATCGAGGATGCGACGGTCAGTCACACACACAGTCTGTGTGGAGCTACACATGAACATCGTGTGTGTGTTCACATCACATACATCAGCACGCTTACTTCAGCAGCTTTGTATGGAAGCTTGTTTCCACCACAGGATAAATAAATAAGTAATAAATTTAGCTGCAACGTTTTATCTCACAATTCTGACTTTTTCTAAGTTTATACCTCACAAATAATTTTTTCCCCCCCTCATTTCTGAGATATAGAACTCGGAATTGTAAAATATAAACAAAGAATTGCAAGATATAATGCAAGTTTGCAATATATCAATTGTAATTCTATGGAACAAGTCAGAAAAGTCTGAGAAGAAAATGTAGAATTGTGAGATAAAAACTTGCGATTGTGAGAAAAAAGAGAATTGTAACAAAAAGTAGATTTTATTTTTTTTATTTGATGAAGAAAAAAACAGAATTGTGAGATGTAAACTCAGAATTGCAAGAAAAATTTAATTGTGAAATAAAAAGTCACTATATATATATATTATTTTCTCATATTTCACCTCAAACAAGCTCTTAAGATATTTAAGTAAACTACAATTTTATCTTTTTTTGTCAAATTTGTTGGCTGTGGTGGAAAAGATGCCTGAGATACTGAGAGACAGTCGGAATTTGTGAAGAAAAAAAGAAATATATATATATATATATATACAGTATTCCATGGCTGAAACATGCTTCCATAGTTTTGAACCTGGAACATTGCTTTGGGCCTGTTTACACCTGGACACTTCATGCGTTTTCTCTGATCGGATGTTAATCTGATTTGTTAAAATGGTTTCAATTACAGCTGGGCACATAAATGTGTCTCCACAAAACGGATATAAATCCGATCTTCAATTCCCGAGCTATATGCAAATGTAATGGAGTTCACGTCATCACAAGCAATAGGTACGCGCTGGATTTTACTCATCATCAGCTAATTTCAAGATCAAAGACTGCAACAGGAGAGAGCGGCATCAGCACTGGAAAGATTGCTTTCAGTTTCATTTGCTGCAGTTTTGCACATCGGCTTGCTGTAGACATACTCAGCTACTCATCTGCGGCGATGCGTGTTGCATTAGCGCCGTCATATCTGACTATGACATGTCATATAGCCTTTAACACTCTCACACGTTTATTGTTAACTAAAATTTAAATTAAAAATAAAAATAAAACTAAAACATTTTAGCTAGCTGCCAAAGCACCATTTCTCATTGCTTTTAGTTTAAGTACAAAAATAACTATAACTAAAACAAAAATTTATTTAAAAAACGTTATAGACATATTTATTGAATCTTGTTTCCACCCCAGAATGAATAATAAAAATATTAAAAATAAAAGGTAATTGCGACTTTTTATCTCATAATTCTGACTTATTTTTTTCATAATATAATAATAATCTAATAAAAAAGTAGTTTTATTTAATAAAAAATTAATTATTAATAAAATAATAGTATCTCAGTGATACAAAAACTAACCCATTTTTGAGTCCATTTTTTTCCTTTCATTTACTGTGTTTTTCTTTTTTCCTTTGGTTTGCTGTGTTTTCCTGTGTTCTTCTCTTTTCCTGTGTTTTTCTGTTTTCCTGTGTTTTTGTCACGAATCCGGTCTATGAACTTCCGTTTGTTCACCACCAGAGGTCATTATCCACCACATGGACTCTCACACTACACAGACTGTCACACTTACCCTGGACTTCAGTTCCCACAATCCATTTCACTCTGATTACACACACGGCTGCAGCCAATCACACACCCTACATAAGCCATGGACTTCCTCTCTCTCACTGCCGAGTATTGTTTGCACTTATCGCCACGTCAGTGATAGCAACGTTACGGAGCCATTTCCGAGTTTTGTCTAGTTCCTAGCTCTAGTCTAGTCACGTCAAGTCAAGACACAGCTGATCTTCATGAGTTACGCCAAGTCACAGCTAATGTTCATGAGTCAAGTCAAGTTCCAACTGATCGTCATGAGTCAAATCAAGTCACAGTTGATCTTCATGAATCAAGTCACATCACTAATCTTCCAGAGTCTCGTCACATCACAGCTGATTTTCCAGAGTCTCGTCATGCCTAAGCTGTTCATCCACAGTCACGTCATGTCACAACTGATCTGCCAGAGCCTCGTCATGCCTCAGCTGATCTACCAGAGTCACGTCACATCACAGCTGTTCATCCAGAGTCACCTCACGTCTCAGCTGTTCATCCAGAGTCACATCACATCAGAGCTGATCATCCAGAGTCATGGCACGTCTCAGCTGTTCATCCAGAGTCACATCACATCAGAGCTGATCATCCAGAGTCATGGCACGTCTCAGCTGTTCATCCAGAGTCACATCACATCAGAGCTGATCATCCAGAGTCACGTCACGTCTCAGCTGTTCATCCAGAGTCACATCACATGAGAGCTGATCATCCAGAGTCACGTCACGTCTCAGCTGTTCATTCAGAGTCACATCACGTCTCAGCTGTTCATCCAGAGTCACGTCACGTCTCAGCTGTTCATCCAGTCACGTCACATCACAGTTGATCATCCAGAATCACATCACGTCTCAGCTGATCATCTAGAGTCACGTCACATCACAGCTGATCTTCCAGAGTCACGACACATCACAGCTGAACATCCAGAGTCACGACACATCACAGCTGAACATCCAGAGTCACGTCACATCACAGCTGAACATCCAGAGTCACGTCACATCACAGCTGAACATCCAGAGTCACGTCACATCACAGCTGATCATCCAGAGTCACGTCACTTCCTGTCTGTTGCACCCAGATCTTTAAGGTCAGTCCTTCGATATCCCAGTCTGGTATCCAGTGTGAGGGATACACCGCTGATGTCTGCACGCACAGCTGGTATCCCCAAACCCACTTACTCTAGCCCTCCTGTTCCTGAACTGATTCCCCTGTCTGAAGCGCTTCCCATGATGGGGATCACTTTTTGGTGTGTTTGGGCTGCATACACCATTACAGAACCTCCCGAGGTGGCGGCGTTCACTATGGAGTCTCCAGAGGTGGTGGCTGATGCTGCCGAACCTCCTGAGGTAGTGGCGCTCACTGCTGTGTTCCCCGAAGCCATGGCATCCGCTGCAGTTTCTCCAGAGGTGGCGGCATATGCTGCAGAACCTTCTGAGGCGGCGGTGCTCGCTTCAACTCCTTACGTGGTGGTGGCACAATACACTCACAGCCTGTCGTGTCGTGGTCGAAGAGACCATTACTGAACCCTCCCTGTTTCCTGATGTTACTGCTGTAGAACCTCCAGAGGTGACGGTAATCACTACTGAACCTCCAGAGGTGTCAGTGGTTTCCACTTATCAGCTCTCTTCCTGTCCTGTCACAGCTATGGAGGCCATCTGTGATCTCTCTGCCTGTCCTGTCACAGCTATGGAGGCCATCTGTGAACTCCCTGTTTGTTCTGTCATGGCAACGGAGGCCACTTATAAACTTTTGTCCATCTCTGAACTCTCGTCCTGTTCTAAACCAGCCATGGGGGTTGATTGTGAACTGTCTGTCACAGCCCAAAAACCTGCCTTTGAACCCTTAACCCTGCCTGTCATGAGCCCAGAAACTATAAATGCACCCCATGTCTTTCCTGTCAACCCTGTCACTGCCATAGAGACCATTCAGGAACTGTCTGCTTGTTCTGTTTCCCCAAGTGTGTCTAATCCTGAACTATCTGTCTTGCCAGTTTCAGTCAATGAGTCTGATTTTGAACCATCTGTCTGTCCAGTTTCAATTAATGGATCTGAGTGTGAATTGTCTGTATGTCCAGTTTCATTCACTGAAATGTCTACCAGTCCAGTTTCAGTTAATACACCCAATTTGAACTGTCAGTCTATCTCATATCAACCCATGAATCGGTTTGTGATCTGTCTTCCTTTCCAGTTTCAGTCAATAAGCCAGATTTGGAACTGTCTGCCTGTCCGTTTTCAGTCAGTGAGCCGGTTTATGAACAGTCCCCATTCAGTAGTCACCAGGGAGACTACTGATGAACTTTTTGTGTTCCCTGCTTTGATCCTTGATGCCGTGAATGCACTGCCTGTCTCTCGTATCTCAGTTTTCCCTAGGTCCCAGTCTCTGCCAGGGGTCCCTGATCTGTCTGGTCTGTCGTGGTCATCTTCAGTCCCGCTTTTGTGGTCATCCGTCTTGTCTGCTTCGCCGTGGTGGTCTTCTGCTCCGACCTGGTGGTCTTCTGCTTCGTTTGCTCCTCCGTGGTAGTCTTCTGTTCTGTCTGCTCAGCTGAGGTGGTCTTCTGTCCTGCTCTGGTGTCCTCTGCTCCACCGTGGGGATCTTCGGACCCGTCTGCTCTGCTGTGGTAGTCCTCAGCTCCAGTTGCTCCACAGGCCCCACTCTGGCTCCCTGCTCCGCCCTGGCTCCCTGCTTCGCCGGCTCCACCCTGGTTCTCTGCTCCACACTGGCTCCCTGCTTCGCCGGCTCGACCCTGGTTCTCTGCTCCACACTGGCTCCCTGCTTCGACGGCTCCACCCTGGCTCCCTGCTTCGCCGGCTCCACCCTGTTTCTCTGCTCCGCCCAGGCTCTGCCCAGGCTCCCTGCTTCGACGGCTCCACCTTGGTTCTTCTCTGCTCTGCCCTGGCTCCCTGCTTCGCCGGCTCCACCCTGGTTCTCTCCTCCACCCTGGCTCCCTGCTTGGTTTTCTATTTTTTTACTGTGGCTTGCTGTGTTTTCCTGTTTTCCTTTGGTTTACTGTGTTTTCTGGGATTTTTTCCACTGTGTTTTGCTGTGTTTTCAGTTTTTTTCTGTTTTCCTGTGGTTTGCTGTGTTTTCAGATTTTTCCCCTGTGTTTTCCTGTGTTTTTGCTGTGTTTTTCTGTTTTATTGTGTTTTCCTGTGGTTTGCTGTGTTTTCAGGGTTTCTTTCCTGTGTTTTGCTGTGTTTTTTCTGTTTTCCTGTGGTTTGCTGTGTTGTCTGCCGCTTCAATGGTTTGTTCAGCTGCCCTTAACCGCTGGTTTGTGTGAGACAGCAGAAGACATTAGGTTTGAG